CCCCCCCCCCCGCCCCCCGGCAACAGCCCCGGGAGACCCGCGGTCAGGCAGCCTCTGTTGTCTGAGGACGTTTGTCTAAAACCGAGGCAAGTCGTTCCGCAAGAGAAGCCGCTCAGAAGTCACCCCCTGTGATACCCTGCAGTGGTCTTGGCAGTAAGTGTATAATGCTGGGGACAGCCTCCCCCGGTCCCCCAGGGCAGACCTCACATCCAGGGTCCCAGACGCCTCTGGGACAATCCAAGAAGAGGGATGCCTCGGGCGTTTTCTCCGCCTTCTTTGTCCTCCTCAGGCTCGGGCCCACCTGCTGCTGTGTCTGTCCTGGGCCCAGGCACCTCTGCATGGTTTGACTCTAGTGAACCCCCTCTTGCCACTAACCGCACCCGCGTTCTGGAAGGGGCCGAGTCAAGGCGCACGCATGCGGCATGCTTCCCTGAATTTCCTTCTAAGGATTTCTCCAGCCTTCATCCTCAGTGGACGGCGGGGAGGGCACGGGGTGGGCGGGAGATGTAAACCCTCGGGCTGGGGGTTAGGCGTCCTGAAGGTGGTGGGGAAACCATCCCAGAACATTCTCTGCACACGTGGAACAGCTCCTGTGTGGCTCGGGGGCCTACGAGGGCGGTGGTCACAGGCTAGGCCATGCCAAGGTGCCCCACCCCCCACACCAAGTCCTGGGACTTGCTCTCGTTAAGAGAGGAATTCTCCGCACTCTGGTCTTACATCATTGGTGCCTGGGCCGTGCATCCTCTGGGGAGATGCCCTCCTTGGTACATGACGGAATGAGCCGGATTGATGCCCCAGCACCTGCAGAGAAGGCTGTGGCGTCACACGCCCACCCCCCACCCCCAAAAGAGCTGGGAACGGCTGATCCAGACGCCCCAGCATGGATGCAATGTTCGTTCCCTCTCCTAGAGCTAGTGAGAGCAGGGGCTCCAAAGCACAGGTGCACTCAGACCAAAAACCCATGACCACCAACCACAAGGGAGCAGAGGAGAAAAGTATGAAAGAAGTTACGTACCGGAATTATACAAGAAACAGAAGAGCCTTGTATGAGCAAAACTGCTGAAGCTTAGCTCTGAGCTTCCTAGCGGCCAGGGCAAAGAGGCAAACGGGACTGGCTGTGTAGTTCTCATCTGGCGGGAAGAAGGAACTCAAGTTCATCAGGGGGAGACGGAGGTTTCTAGTTCTTGCTCTGAGAGGGATTTGTCACAAGGGGTCACCACCCCGTGTCCCAAGGCTCATTAAAATACCCTGATAACCAGCCTGCCACAAAGCCTACCTGTGGTAGCTGCTCATCTCCGTGGAAGGACCAGGGCGGTGGCCACTGGTGGCCATTCCTGTGGCTGGCAGCGTGGCTCCCCCTGTGCCGCCTGGTCTGCTATCAGGAGAACGACCGCCGGCCACCTGATGGCAACGAGGAGCGTAATCGAATTCTCCGAGTAGAAGGCAGAGGCTGTCACATTGTAGTAACGGCAGGCAGAGGGGACGCTAGTTTGTGAGGATACACGGTATCGGGCAGGTATTGCCTTCGTACGTGAAAATGCCCCGAGCCACCCGGCAGTGCCGGAGACCCGGATAGAATACAGGACGGCAGGCAATTGGAACATGGCTTTTGAGATCAGACGTGCGGATCCGTTGACCCAAAAAGGCACGGGAAGCGAATGGCGCGACTGCACGGTGCAGACGGCAAGCAGCCTAGGGGGTCTATGGGGGACGCGTATCTTGCGAATCAGGCTTCCACGTGTCCATCAAGCGTTTGCCAAAACGTCTGTGTACAAGGAAAACCTTGGCGAAGAAGTCTGAGTTTTCCCAGCCGTGACCCTGGAAAGCACACGTACCGCAGTCAGCCCTCGGTTGGCCCCCAGCTCTGCCACCGGCTCCGGGCGCGTTTTCGGGCCACCCGCTCGCATTTCCTGAGGCTCTCCTTCCTGGTCTTTGAAAACGTCACCCTTGCCTCTCAAGGGCGTCGTGAGGACCCGCGACCGTTAAAGCGGGTGGCGTCTTCTCCTCCGTGCGCGCCACGGCACGGTTCCCACACGGGGAGTCGTCATCAAGGCAGAAGCCCCCTGCCCTTTCTTGCTCCCACACCGGTGGCTGTTGGCACATTCCGACGGGAGCCTCAGCCGGAAAATAACGGTGACCGGCCACCGTTCCTTTCCTACTGCTAACAGTTGCGGTCTGATTTTTGAGAAGTGAAAGACGTGGGTTGAAACGGTCACAGTTCTGTGGATTCGCTGTAGGACCTCGGGCTCGTTGCTTGACCTCTCTGAGCCTCGTCCATAACGTGACATGATGGTACCCGTCTCCTGGGTTGGCAGCAAAGATTGTGGGATGTATCTGGAGGGCGGCTGGCACACGGAGACTCCAGCCAGTGGGAGGGGTTACTAACTGGTTGCCTTTAAATTCCCTGGGGCCTCTGTTGAGACCCGTAGGGGGATCAGCCAGGGACGTGCCTATTGGCATCGTGTTCCCGGGGCTCCCCTGGCCACCCCATCTCTGGAGGAGTAACCACGAGACTCCCTTGCACCAGGGAGGTCTTGAAGATCTCAGACGCTTGGAGGACCACGGGGAGACGGCTCTTCCCCTGCTGTGGACTGATCCACGGGCCCCGGCCCTCCACCCCTCTCTCCTGGGAGTCTCTGTCTGGTCTTAGAGCCTGGCAGACCACAGGGCGCTTTTGCTGCTAAGAAAGGGGGCTCTAACTGCCCAGGTCGGCGGCGGGGGCCTGTGATGCAGGGCAGTGGGCACTAGGGGGAGGCATTTCTCTTCCGCACCACAGGCCAGCCGGGCGAAGGCAATGGACGCAGGTTTGCCTTGCGTTATGCGGGAAGAGGTTCCCCAGCCAGACAGGCGCCCCCTGGGGGTGCTTCCCGGTGTCCTGAGAAAACGTCTCAGGAAAAACCCCCAAGGAGAACTATTCTGTGATGATCGTAAAAGGGAGTGGAGGCGAATGCACCTGGCTCAGGGTCATGAGGCCAGTGAGGCACCTGCCCAAAGGCTCGGTCATCAAATAATGGTCCAATGCGATGCCTTTTTTTAAAATAGTGATTGATCACAGATGTTATTTATTTATTTGTTTGTTTATTGAGAGAGCGCCTGCAGGGGAGGGGCAGAGAGAGAGAGCATCCCAAGCAGGCTCCGGTCTGTTAGCGCTAGGGCCTGACACGGGGCTCGAACCCGCGAACCACTCCTATCACGACCCGAGCTGAGATCAAGAGGCAGAGGCTCAACCGAGCGAGCCATCGAGGCACCCCTGATGAGTACCTTTTAAAATCCAAATTAATTCGTGGTGAACAAAACGCCAACCGTTTCTGTAGAGACTGGCCCCAGGCCCCCACCCGTGCTCGCCTGACTCACCACCCCTGTTTCTCCTGTTGGGCTGCAGGACCGTGGGCTGGGGGCTCTCCGGGCTGGTCTCTGCCCCCACACTCCCTGGGACTGCGCCTGCCCCTCGACCACCGCTTGTCCGCGGCAGCAAGCGGCACTGAAGGCGCTCTCCCCGTGGCGCAGTCCGGGGCGAAGCGGTCACCTTGAAGGTCAACCCCTGCACCCAATTCCAGAAGCGCCGGCCGTGAGCGCCCAGCCTGTGTCAGACCCCGTGTAGGCGCTGGGCCTGAGGAAGCGGTGCTCTTCGAGCGGCTCAGCCCGACTGGCGGTGCTCACACCAGGCGCAGGAGGCGGGGGTAGAGATTCAGGGGCTCGGCACCCGCTTTACGGGCCCGGGCCCTCCTCAGCCGTTGCAGGATGAGTTTTTCAGGTGGGCTTGCGGGGTCGTGATGCACCGAAATGCCAGCTTGCCGATGAATGCCGCGAAGCAGGGAGGGCGGCCCATGTTTTCCGAATGTCACCACCTGAGTGCCCCACGCAGGGCTCCGTCCAGGGGCTGTGCCGGCCCGGCACGTGGGAGCGCTGGGGCCCTCGGGGTCCGGTCTCCGTGCTGTGCGGGGCCCAGAGAGCAGGCGCGCGGGCATGGCTTGAAGGGCGGCAGGAGAGCTGGGCCAAGCAGGGTCCGCGCAGGCCTGGAAGGGGCGGGAGGACCTTCTGGAGCCGTGGCACCGGGGGCTCCTGGCTGCCCGCCCTCCTCCCACCTGGGCCAGCACCACCAAGGCGCGGCCACCCGCCCCTACAACCTGCCTCCTGCCGCCCTCTCTCTTTCTCTTCCAGAACGCCAATCTGGCCCCTTGTGGAGCAGACCCGGATGCCAGCTGGGGCACGCGAGGTACAAGACGCGGGGACCCCCGTGGGTCCCTGGCTGGGGCAGGGGTCACTTACACGGTTCCATGAGTGTCATCCTGACCCGGGCCCCTCCAGGGCCAGCTGGCAAAAGGCTCTGAGCATCGTGCGGTGGGGGGATCAGGGAGGGCGCGTGTCCACGCAAGGAGCACTTTACCTCCATTCTCAGGTTACCGAAGGTGCTCCCCTCGCTCGTAGTGCTCCCGCTCCTACTTGAGGGGCTCCCCTCGCTCCTGGTGCTCCCTCTCCTGCTCCCCTGGCTCTCTTCTCTCCCACCTCAGATGCCCCGCTCCCCTACCTCAGGCCCTCCCTTCTCTGCATCCTTGAGAACAGCCGCCCCTGTCCCTGATATGTTTGTCGCTCTGGGCCCTTGGGGAGAGAGATCTGTGTTGGACTAAGCCTCCTGTACCAGCACCGAGGACAAGCCAAACACCCACTGGCAAATTGCGTGGCAGTAAGGGAGGAAGTCACAGCAGAAAGCCTCTGGGGTCTGAGCCGAGTGGATTCGGGTCACCTCCTGCCTCCCACCCTTGCTGGCTGTGTGGCCTCCTGGCATTCAAACCTGGGAGGCTGCTGTTCCTGGAGTGACCCTGCTCATATGGCAGGTGCCTGACCGGGGGCTCTGCTAAGTTGGAGCCCGTCCCGCTCAGGGCCATGCCGCTCACCCCTGTCACCCCAAGAAAGACAGGGAGCGTGCCCTCAGGGGCGGGTTCACAACAGACAGAGGAGCGATGGGGTGTCACAGCCGGCCCCCTCCACGTGGCTCTCCAAGCTCCCGGCCTCAGAGCTGGCATGTCAGGACGTCGCATGGCATGCTGGGAAATTTGGGGACCGACCCCTGTCACCCAGGCCCTTGTCGGGGCCTCCCTCCCAAGACCAGCTTGTGGCCCAGGTCTGCTTTCTGTGGGTTCTGCATGGTCCCCGAGGCCCTCCTATCCGTACGAGTTTGTTCTTTGACATGACGATTTTAGTCTGGTGGAAAAGCCTTTAAAAAAGCGTACGGAACTCAGTAGTCTAACAGGAGGACCTAGGGGGTAGAAAGGTAAGCAGTGCCCCCGAGACGTCTGCCCCGGAATGCCCGCTCCGCAGGTGGGTGAATCGAGGCAGGCAGCTTTCTCAGGGTGGCCCGGACCGCCAGGCCGACAGAACCACGTCCGAGGAACACAGCACTGCATCCAGCTCCCAGTCTGGCCTCCAGCCTCCTGACCATGCCTCCTGCTCTCGGTTTCCCTCTGGAGAATCTGCTCCCTGGGGGACTAGAGCCCCGAGTGCAGGCCGCCGGGGGTGGGAGGCGGGCATGCACAGCCGACTGCGGGGCGGGGGGAGGGGGGGTCCCCAGGATGGGAGGCTGCTCCCACCTTTGGGGTGAGTTCCCACGCTTCCTAAACCACCACCTGTGGTCTCTGCTCCTTCTCTTACAGAATACAAGGTAAGAGGGGCCGCCCGCTGCCACGCCGACTGCTTCGTGCCAGGCCGCACCTGCCCAGGTTAAAAGTTCCTTTTGTTGTGCTTTCGTGTGAAATGTGTATGTCAGATGCAGACGCAAGTATGTATCTTCGCGTTGGCCTTCGGCTCGGCTCTTCGGTCCCGGCTCGCGCCTGCTTCCTGGGGTGAACCTGTGGTTTCTTCTCCCGACAGGTCTACCCTTATGACGCCCTCATTGTCACAAACCGAATTCGCGTGAAACTGCCCAGAGATGTGGACCGCACGAGACTGGAGGTAGGAGGGCGTCTCCGGCCGGGACGTTTGTTCCGGCTGGGTGATCTTGGGCTCCTCCCGTCCCAAGGATCTTGGGCTCCTCCCTTGGGCGCACTCCTGTCCCTGCTGTCAACACTCGGCCCCCTCCCGCGTGTTCCCACCGCGGCCTCAGCGCCAGGGCCCCTCGTTGTCTGAAAGGCTGGAGGACGGCGGGCGCGTGCCCCGGTAGAGACGGCTTTGCAGAGGGCTCTGCTGTTTGCAGGGGTGCTGAGTCAGTAGTGCCCGTCTTTTCCCCAAGCACTGGTGTTGAGAAGGCGGTCGTAATCCATGGCCTCTCGTTTGACCACGTCCACACCGATCTAGAACAATAAGCCGGTCTGTGGGGAGCAGGTGTAGGTTTAAAGAAGCAACGGGATGTCAGCACGGGGTAGGTGTTTAGATAATCTCTGCTGAGCCCTTGCTATGAGCCGTAATCCCCACGATTGTCCTACAAAGTGATTAACGTCCATCCAGTGAATTTCACCTCCTGAGCCCTGTCACAAATGTTTTGTGGCCTGTTAATGTCCGTTTTGCTGGGAGTGCGGGGTCTGGAGGCTCCTGAAGGCCCAGGGCCCCCTGCCCCATCGGTGACCCAGAGCTGGGCACAGAGTAGGTCCCGGAAGCGTCTCAGGCATCGTGTGTGTGCAGCTGGTGCCAGACCCGCCAGACGGCCCATCTGGGAGGGCCCCTGACACAGCCGGGGGGTACCCAGTGACACCCGCGGGCTCAGCCGGGCTGCCAGGCGAAGGCCAGGTGGCCACCCAAGATGGGACGGACGGAGGCCAGGCGGGGAGAGCTGGGTGGCGAGTGGGGACACGTCCACTGCTCAGCAGGAAACACTGAGCTGGCCCTTGAAGGAGGGACGAGATTCTCACCTGCAAAGAGGGGAGAACATAGGCCTGGGCCCAGGGACCCCAAGTAAAGGCTTCAAGGGGGGATCTACAGGATGTGCCCTGGGTAAGAAGGGAGCCCTCTCGGTGAGACTGATGGGGCACAGACCTCTGTGCGCAGCCTTGACGATGAAGACACTGCTGTCCAGCAGCTGGGTCCCTGGGCTCCTTGCCCGGGGCCCAGGGAACGGCATCGCTTGCGGGGGGAATAGTGGTGGTGGTGAGGGCTACGCGGGTGCTGGTGTGGCTGCAGCCCTGCAGGGAGGCACATCGTGCCGACGCTTTCTGTCACGAGTGACGAGAGCCTGCCCACGTGACTCAGGCAGAAAAGGGGTTACCAGCTCATAGGATTGATGGGTCCCTTCAGGGTGGCTCAGTCATATCTCGGGCCCAGCGTCTCTCCTGCAGTCTCTTGGCCGTATTTCCTGTGTCCTGGCCGCTAGACCGACTTTGACCTCACTTCTCCCAGGCTCAGAGTCTGCAGAGAAGAGGTCAGTGTGCTCCGTCCGCCCTCTCCTTCCTTCTCTCTCTCCCTCTCTCTCCAAAGTCCTAGCCTCATCTCCGCCTCTGGGCGGGTGATCTGACCACCCTGAATCAACCAGCTTGTCCGGGGGACTGTGATGTCCCCTCTGGCCAGGCTTGGCCGCCGGCCCTGGAGCAGGGGGACAGCTCCGAGCTCTGGGACTTGGTACTTCAGCTTAGGGCCAGACGCCTACAGAGAGGCGGGGAGCTGAGGCCGGGGAGGAGGGGACAGTGCGGCCCGGCGAGCCCACGGACGCCGCAGTCGGGCAGCGCGGCGGACCCACCAGATCCTGCCATCATCCAGGACACCGGGGCATCGTGCCGGGCAAAGGACCACAGAGCCAAATGACACACGAGCTCCTGTCTCAGGAGACTGTCCATTTATCAGGACATTTGGACCTTACCCCACAGCAAAGCAAAGATGTGTAGAAAGTTCTGACCTGTGGGGATAAGCTCAGGTGGCCCGTGGGGTCAGGGGCGGCCAGCTGGGAGCTGGTGTGTGAGTCCAGGGGAGGGGGGCCACGGAGCCCCCAGTCCCCGGTGCGGCTCCTGGGACGTGGGGGCCCTCGGAGGGCACACGCAAAAGCTGCGAATGCGGGAGGGCCATCTCACGCTGTGGGGGTGCCTGCTGTGGGGAAGACAGGGTCCTGGGCAGCCTCCCCAAGGGGCTCACGTTTAACAATCCCCACTTTCTCTGCAGGGGACACGCTCTCTGGCTCCTGCTGAGTGGAGTCCTTGTTAATTGTGTGGTCACGTCCCCAGCCTGGAGGGTTCCTGTTTGCTGCGCGTCTTTGCTCCTTAAAGGGCCAAGCCCTGTGGGCTGGCTGCCCTCACCACAGAGCGGAGCTCAGAACAGGATGCCTGGGGCTCCTGGCTCAGCAGCGTTAGGACTAGCTGTTTCCCTCTTGGGACTGGGGTGCACTGTACATGACGCCCGCCTCCCTTTGCTTTTTATTAAACATGGCACGAAAGGGGCAAAATAGCGGTTGATAGCTATCAATATTTCCTTTTAACAAACTCTGAGGACTGGTGTTGAGTTTCGTCATCCAGTCCCCAAGAGCACATCCAAGGGTGCATCTCTGTAATCATTCTCTTCCCCGTCTGAGCCCAGCCAGGAGGCAAACTGGAACTGTTACCACAAGTGGGGCTCGTCCCACATTCTTCGGGGCTCGGAGCTGGGAGGTGAGTGGGGAGTGGGGCAGGAGGGGCCACATCCCAGCAGGACACGGGGGACCCTGATGTTTTTATGTCAGGGGAGGGAGCTGTATCTTTTTCTTTTTTTTTTTAATGTTTATTTTATTTTAGAGGGAGAGAGAGACAGAGTGAGCAGGGGAGGGGCAGAGAGAGACACACACAGAATCCAAAGCAGGCTCCAGGCTCCGAGCTGCCAGCACAGAGCCTGACGCGGGGGTCAAACCCGAAAACCACGAGATCAGGACCTGAGCCGAAGTCGGACACTTAACCCACTGAGCCACCCAGGCGCCCCGAGCTTTATTTTTAACGTAAAAACAATTTCTAACTCTTGTAGAACTTCAGAAAAATACAAAGAAGAATGCAGACATCACACGGAAATCCCCCAACGAGTCATAACTCCTATTAACTCCATGGTGGACCTGTTTCCGGAAATCTCTTTTTGCATAAACACGGCCGAATTTGCATAAAGTTTGCATAAAGACGGCCGAGTCCAGCTCTTTTCTTTTAAATTTGACGTGAACGTTTTCTCTGCCAGTTGACGTAGACCTGCTCGTCCTTTTAAACGGCTGGATGATGGTCCCACATCCACACATGGGAGGGTCCAAAGGGCCAGGCTTCTGCCCACGCCCCCACGAGCCGTGGCTCGGTCACGTGGCCAAGCGCCACGCAAGGCAGGCTGGGCGTGCTGGGTGCCCAGCGAGAGGAAAGGGTGAATCTGGTGGACAGCTGGTGAGCCCGGCACATCTCTGTAGGGTCCGCCTCTGGAAGGTGGACTGTTCCGTCAGCTTCTCGCCCCTTCCTGCCAGAGCGCTCAGCTGACTCTCCCACGCATTCGGTGAGTATGTGGCACCGAGCTGGGTCCTGGGATGTGTGTGACGTGCAAAACCCGGCATGAGCTCTGCCCTCCCAGAGTCAGTCTGACCGGGGAGACGGAATCAATCAACCGATACCCCAAATGAGTATATGTAATTATACACCAAGATAAGGGGTTTAACGGGAAGGAATGTGGGCCCGTGAGCCTTTGAAAATGGGTAAAAGTTAATCGGATGTATAAGTGCTGTGTGTGTGGAGGTGTGTGCGTGTCTGTAAGGTGAGGGAGGCACATAGGAAGAGAATTCCAGGAAGCACAGACTGTGTGTGCAAAGGCCCTGGGGTAGGAGGAAGCAGCGGCTATTTGAGCAAGAACTTTAAGGAGACTCAGGTGGCTGTAGTTGAGCAGGGTGAAGGTAAGGGTGGGGCCAGGCCGTTCAGGGCCCTGGGCCATGGTAAGCAGTTTGGATTTTAGTTTTAAGAGCAACGGCTTTAGGTGGGGGAACCACCTGATTAGGTTTGTCACTGAAAGCATCAGCGGGGCTGCTCTGTGAGGCCTGGGTTGGCTGTGGGGATGCAGGGAGACCGTTTGGGAGACGATTGCGTCCTCCAAGCAAGACATGCTGGCATATTGGTCAGGGTGGTGGCAGCGTCATTGTGAGAAGTGGGCAGCGTGGGGATTTGGGCCCTATTTGGGAGGTCGAGGGAGCAGGACCGGGTGATGGAAGGTGCACTGTGGAGTGACGGGCACATCTGGCGTGACTCCAGGGTGTCGGGAGGGGGTGGCAGTCACTCGGAGTGCGGTGAGACCGGACCCCGATGATGGTGGACACTACGAGGCTTGGCCAGGGGAAATTCAGGATGCTTATTAGCCCAGGAAAACGAAAGGTGTCACATAGCTGCCCTTAGCATGTAGTAGGTGCTCCATAAACGTTGGTGACGTATGCAGGGGGATGATAACCCTCTGCGGCTCTGGAAGTGCAGTCAGATGAACCGTGTGACCCCCCCCCCCCCTGCAGAGGGCAGGGCAGGGGTCAGCGGGCAGACTTCCAGGGACACCCACCTGGAGCCTGGCTGAACGTCATTCCCGAGATCCAGGGCTCTCTGTCCTAGAGGGTCTGGCCCCTGGTTCCCAGTACCCGAGGGCCTCGTGCCTGGGAGGACCTCGGGCCCTTCCTGATTTGGCGGTGCCCTTCCAAGGGTCTGCTTCCAGGAGCTTCCAGTCTGAGTGGAAGGAGCTTTGCCTGTCCCTGGGAAAGACTCAAGTATCCTGAGACCACTCCCCGCACACCTCTGCCTGGCACCTGCCAAATGACATCACCATCCCGTTCGTCCGTCCGTCTCCACATCCTGGAGGAGAGAGAGCTCACCCAGGGTCGGGATGACCTGGGTGTGAATTCAGTCTCCGTAATGTCTAGTTATGTGACCGCAGGCGGGTTCCTTCATCACCCTGAGCCTGACTTCTCCCCTGTCAAATGACATTGCTGTGCCGATCGTGCTGGCTGGTTTGAGCGTTTATTCTGTTGTTCGGAGGTAGTCGTTAAACACCTCCTGTGAACAGGCCCT